TAAGTGTATGACGATTATTATCAAGCCCATTGCAGAATTACCAGAATTTAATTTTGATATACGTGGAAACATAATTAGGGTAATAACAGATATTACGTAATATTCTGAGGGGGAGGGGGTCTCTGATTTTCTTACATAGAAATATAAATTTATAATAGCCAATCAAATCTCTCTTACGTGGGGGGAGGGGGGTAGAGAGTATAGTAAAAAAATACTATGTAATATCTGTTACTACTCTTACCTTTATTCCCCGAATTTCAATAATTATTGCTGACATGGCTAAAGCTGATACGTTTGCTAACGTTTATCAACCATCATCCTCAAGTTGACTATGTGGAAAATGCTTGGTATCAAAGAATGACTTAAATAAAACTAAATTAACAAGTATAATCCCAAAAACTCTCAATGCTATAAGACAAGCAATAGTGAAGAAGAACATAATTATTCACTTCATCCTAAAATAAATGCATTTTGGAAGATTGGGTATGTGATTTTAAGAAAAGAGATGAATTTGAAAAAAAAATAATATTCATAAAATTAATTATAATAAATTTTATGAATATTATTTTTTTTCAAATTCGTTCCTTTTCTCTACACCAAGCCCAAATTATTGTACTAAAAATATAATAAATATGAAGCTATTGTTCCTAATTGAATGCACACATTGGATCTTGGCCTTTTTAAGTATATGCTGGATTATACTAAAGAGCTTCTATTAGACCAGTGTGAAAGCAGAGTGCTTCAAATCTTTGAACAGCAATTAACATCGATTCCTCGATATTCTAGGCTTAAAATAATAAAAATCTTATTAGATATAACACACATGACAGCTGATGAATTGCATAACTTAATGAAAATAATAATCTTTGCACTTGATAACCTCTACGAGAATTATCGAAAGCCAGGAATTAGTAATGAATGCTTATGCAAAGTTCATTACCAATTTCTTTGTATATATATTGCCTCTTGTGAGGAATCATTTACTTACGATTCCTGTAACCAGCTTCAGGTATAAAACAAGTGATTACCTTTTTAATAGTCCTGATAACTAATGATTTATTTCATAGGTCTTCATCAATGAATGGGCCAAAAAATTTGTTGAAATATTTTCAAAATATTCTGCAAGTGGTCTTTAACTCCCAAAACTTCACAGTTGGTGCCATCATGTAGTACCTGCAATTCAAGAATATGGGTCAATAAACAGTATGACCATGGAGACTTATAAGACTCTTCATAAGGATTATGTAAAAAATCCTTATTGTATGTCAAATAAAAAAGACTATATTAAACAAATTATAAAGATGGTATGTTATAATTATAAAATGATCATTATTTATCACTTATAACCAGCGATGTTATTTTTGCAGTGACATTTATTTTAAAAATAAATAAATATCACTACAGTAAATCTAATAATTACTATTAATAGGTTAAGCGGCAAAAGTTAACTGAGAATGAAGTTTAAAAGAAGTACCGTAAAGCAAAAGGGTTTGGTAAATTTTTGTGGGTATTAAGTTTAGAGAGAGCAGATAATTTCCTTAAAAAAAATAAAGATAATATGGACTCATTACACATCGAAGGTTTTCAAAACCTTTTAAATGATCTCGATGAATTTTTCGAAGAGGAATCAGTCTTGTCACTTCACGAAGATAATCGTATAGAGATATTTTCTTCCACTTCTTTAGAAAGTACCAACATAATTTGTGCTACTTCAAACTTTCATGGAAGTGCAATGTTTTCTAACATTATAGTTAGTGGTGGTAATAAATATGAAGAAATAAGTTGGTATGTATCGTTTATATTTTAATCTGTTTCATAATAGTAGATATCTAACAATAGAAATGAGTTAATAATGATATTAAGCGAAATAACTCTCAAAGTTAGACAATATTTTTTCATTTATAGCTAACTTCGAGAGTAGTATAACTAACATAAATATTGTCTATCAAGATGCTATTAATACTCAAGTTTTATCAATCAAATAAAAAGCTACTTGAGTTTGCCCTAGTCCACTAATACGACGAAGATGGTGAGTTATGGGGATATCCCAAGTTAAAACTAATCAAGCACTACACTTGTATACCATTGGAGAGTATAAACAGAACTGTGCATATAGTCCCGAGATTTAACAAAATGAATGAATATCTATTGAACAGCTTTATGTTCTAATTTAAAGTGTATATTTAAAGTCAATATCTAAAGTAATATAAAGTGTATATTAGATTTAAATTAATATCAGATATATAACATTTTAGTTACATAAGATATTTATCGATTCAAAACAGGTAATCGAAAATTGACGTTTAACTAAATTCGATGATAATCGATAAATATATTTATATCGATTTGCATCTAGTAATCGAACTTTATCGTTTTCTAATATATAACGAATATTATCAAATTTATCAATTTTTATCATTAAAATACAAATATTAAATATCGATTAAATGCTATATACCAATTTGTATCTGTTAGTAAAATTTCCTGATAATATGTAATATACTTATATTTATTATAAAACTTTTAGAGAGGGGGTGCATTATTTCGGGATGCACATGTACATTATTTTGAGTCAAATGAGCAATTTTTATAAAAGTGCCAATTTTGAAATAATGCACATGTGTGTTATTACACAAAAATATAGTAATTCTTAAAACAATATTAAGGTTTAGATTAAGGATTATAACTTTTATTATTTGACTTTTAGTGATTAACTTGTAAAAATTAAGACTTGTATTAGAAATAAAGATTTTTTTACAGATGAAAACATTTAAAATTTAGAAAGTTTAAAAAAAAAATTTTATAATAAAAAATTTTAAAAAAAAATTTTAAACTTATATTATTTAAAAGTTTTTTTATATTTTTAAAAAAATTTTTTAATAAAGTTAATAAAATAGATTTTAAAATATATTTTTTATTTGGTAAATATATAGCTAAAATTAATATTCAAAATTTTATTAAAAAGTTTAAAAATTAAAAAAATTAGTAAAAATCTTCACAGGCAAATTTGTCTGTGTTACAATTTAAGAAATAGTAAATCTATTTTGACTATTATTTATCAATTTCCTGGCTTATCTTTGTTTATTAATTGCTGGCTATCGGATTTGTCACCAAATTTGTATTTTAATCAAATTTGTATATTTTGATCTATCATTGATAATTTATGATATAGTAATTCAATCTTGATAATTTTGATACTATTTGAATCCTCTCATTGTAAGGATTCAAATGTTATCAAAATTATCAAGATTGAATACTATATCACGAGTTATCAATGATAGATCAAAATATATGAATTTGATTAAAACACAAATTTGGTTGACAAATCCGATACCTAATAGTCTATTTATCATGTATTGTAGCTTATTTCGATTGTCAGAACCTTCTAAATTCACTGGAGATAAAATATCTAGTATGTTTTTATAACATTTTTATCTCCTTTTAAAAATATACTCTGTGAGTTAATAACTCTACAAAATCTTTATTGTCTAATTGATGAAAGCTGCTAAGAGAGGTATTGAGTATAATAAAGTTAATACAGTTCTCAATATTAAAAGATCTTGTATATTTGCTTAGAATATCATACACAGTTCTGGTTTGGGAGAATCCTAATGAGGCTTTAATTAAATATTTAATTTTTAAGTTTTAGTATTGATATAAAAATCATTACAAAGTTTTTTCAAGTAATAACAAGTTTCTAAAATCTGAATCTGGGTTTCTCTTAAACCTCCTCTAGTATTTTGATATAGTTGAGAAGTGATTTTAGTTACTTGATCTTTCCAAGTAGAACTGAGTATAGATTAGCTCTAATTAGAGTATTTGAGTCTCAGTTAGTTAGATCTTTGACAATTTTTCCTATTAAGGTTTCTGGGTCTGGTGCTTCAGATACAATATAGACAAGGTTATCAAGATCTGGTTCTAGAAGGTATTCAAAAAGAGGGTCATTCTGAGTTGATGCTTAATTTCCTTCAATTCAGAATGATGCAAGAATATTCATTCCATCAGTTATGACAACTTGATTTCCAGTAAGCACAAGAGCGTTGTATTGAGTTAGAGGGTTTCCTATCAGGGCTTCAGGTACAACATAGACAAGGTCATCAAGATCTGGTTCTGGAAGGTATTCACCAAGAGAGTCATTCTGAGTTGGTGCTTGATTTTATTCAATTCGGAATGATGCAAGAATATTCATTCTATCAGTTATGGCAACTTGATTTCCAGTAAGCACAAGAGTGTTGTGTTGAGTTAGAGGGTCTTGATTCCAGTGGGTAATTAATTTAGTAAGTCAGTAGCATTTATAAATTATATATGCCGAACGGCACTGACTACAGTACCCCGGGTACTATTCAATAAACCATCGAGTTTCTTGAATAGCACCCACCTGGGTACTAATTACGGGAGAGGCTATTATTATAGAGGGGGTACTTTACATAGTTTCAATATTATTTAATAAGGACTTAAATCTAAGTATATATATCTATACCGGGTCTTTTTCAATTTCCTGAATCATGAACCCATGAATTGTACTCGGGTATTTTCTATCGGGGTATATAGCGTAGTCAGTGCCGTACAGTAATATTAAACAAGTTGTCATCGACTTTCAATCGATACGACAATGCCCAATCACATTAAAAACATGCACATAAGAGTTGGCCTGATAGTCTTGAAATATAGTTTGGGATTTCAATTCGGGTTGGTACATCGAATTCAAGGGTGTGCTATTCTAAGGAATATTGATGCAGTGTTTTATGCTATGTACTTTACTATTTAAATTCTTTCCAGATGCAAGTCATCGTTCATTTTTACGTGTGTCCTGGTGAGTTGCATTTAGAAAGCTGATTGTGGCAGTACGCCAAGTTGTAAGTTTATATTTAATATTATTAAGATTTGCACCGACTATGCTAAATAGTTTAAAAATCTTAAGTTTATTGAAAAAATGTTACATTTATGAATTTTGAATTTTTCTTTTATCTAATAATAAGTTCGAAAAAATATTTTCTGGGTTAAATTAAAACACTAATATTAATATCTGATTTATGATACCCATTTTTTTTGTTTTTCTTATCATCTTTCTTAATTTTCTGCCCTAACGAAAAACTCTTCTCAAGCTTCTTATAAGCCTTCTTCACGATTGGATTATTGACGAGGGATGATTTTTGTAATGATGAATTTTCAGTAATTTCCATTTTAGTCATTAAATTCAATTCAATATTGTACGTTTTCTTTTCACTCTTAGCATCTCGATCATCTTCAGAAACTTTGAACTGAATTAATGGCTCATTACTAATTGATACTTCATCATTTTGTTCATAATTGAACGGATGACATAACGTCACAAATCCTAAAAACTTTCCAATAACCTCACATACTTTTCTTCCATCTTTTCCACCCGGAATCATTTTCTTGACACTATAGAACATTGCAGAAGCTATTGCGCTTACGTCATCTTCTACATCACCTGAATCACTGTAATGTCGATACATTAGACACCACGATATAATTGCCCTATCAACATGTGTTATTCCGGGTGCATTACAGAGGGGTCCACCGGCAAGAGGCAGATAAAATGCGTAAATAGGACGAGATTCCTTGGCTAAATTCATCGACCAATAAGAAAGATAAACCAAACTTGGTAATAAGCGTTCAAGTCGCCGTGGTTTTTTCGTCGTAGTCTCAGTTACTAAATCGTCCGAGTCAAGTATATCATAAAAAACGGGAGGCAAAGCTGCTTTAATTATACCCACTAATTTGTTTCGATATTGATTTGTGATATACTTTGGTTGCAATGGATGAGAAGAAATAAAAGTATCAAGTGGATCCTTTTTACGTTCTGATTCAGGCATCATGTCGAAACATTTTCCCTGTCGAACACCACCTTCACAAAAGTATACGTATCTTAAAGGTATAACTTCCATTACAGCTTCAAGAAGAAAACATGCAGCTGGAATGAGATTCGCACGGCGATTACTAATTCGAAAAGGATTTCCATTTGGAAACAATTTTTCAGTTGGTTTATCTTTAGTTATTGATGGATCATGATCTGGTATCAATCGTTTTGTAATTCGAGCAAGTTCTTTCGCCGAAATTCCGTACCCATTAATTATCGGCACCGGATAAGCAGCTTTATTTTCAGAAGATTTACCTGCTTCCGATTCAAATTCTGACATACACAAATATCCCAAAGCGCGTAATCCACCACCACTCATATAAACCTTAAAACCAGATTCATCTTCAATATTCTTTGGAGGATTCAGTTTTTTATAACTTTTTTCTAAATCACCTTTTATCTTTTCAAATAATTCATGACGTTTTCGTGGGTTATTAGCTTCACTTAATAAACTTGACAACGCAGCAGCACCATATGGAAGGTTTATTGGAGAATCAGACATTTCAATTGAATCTTCTTCGGGATGATGAATTACGTAATTTATTTCCACCGACCCACCACCCATATCCATGACTAATCCTTCAACACCATAATAAGTAGCAATTATACCCTTTGCAGAAATTTTAGCTTCATCATCTTTTGAAAGTAAATCAATATCCCAGTTTGTAGCTTTAAGTATTCGAGAACGAAAATCATCAGAATTAGGAGCAGTTCGTGTTGCTTCAGTTGCTAAAACTTTGACATCATTGACTTTATATTGTTGAGAAAGTAATTTAAAACGTTTCAAGCTATTTATAACATCAACTATTACAGATTCCGGGATGCCTACACGCTCAGTACCAGAATGTTGAGCATCAAACAATGATATTGGAGCTCTTTCTTCATAAATTACTGGTAGATGACGACTCAATGAAGATACTAATCCAAATCTTATACCATTGCTCCCAATGTCGATAACGCCTTTTCCATTTTCATCTCCCTAATGAATACGAAAATAAAAGCCGTTATGAGTAAGTTATTTGAAATAAATTAATCTAATATCTATTTAAAAAAAAAAAAAAAAAAGGAAAATTTGGATTCATATACCATTATCTTTGAATTTTGTTGTCGCTGGAAGATTTATTGTCGATCTAAAAAAAGTTTGAACAAATATCGATATAAATATATATAAAAAGTGTATGTAACACTAACGAACTTTGGGCAAATTAAAAGTAACGCAATCTGGGCTGGATAATATAAATTTGGCCAGCATGAATTATTTAAATTGGATTAGTGAATTGATCATCTGTTACGATAACGATAATTACGTATTTTGTGAAATGAGTTATCATACAGAAATATATATAGAAATTTCAGTTCTAGCCATCATCCGCCATAATAACCAGTTTTCTTTAAAAAAAAGTTCTATTGTTATCACTAATTTAGTCACAATCTCCTTATAGAAATTTATTAAGAAATATTTGATTTCATCTCTCCATAGTTACGTAACAGTCACACGATTTGTCACATCTAAAATTTTATCATATGATCTTCACAAATTACACAAAACGACGATTTTACATTTTTAAGATTTTTACCAAAACTCTTATCTAAATACGCCTATTCCTTAAAACAAAGTTGTTGCTGAAGCTTCTACGAACCCAAAGGTATGAAAAATATAAGAAATGACCTTCTTTCTACAAAAATATGTACTTTCGAAGATGGGCAATTGTTTTACCTATATTCGCATGATTCTTTTCAAGCATACAGATCTCTGACTTAAAAAGTAATCTATTAGGTGTAAAAAAATGAGAGCTTTCGCCAAAATGCATCTTTGAAGGGCTGGTACATTATAAAAGTAATGGAGAAAATCAAGGGAAACTGTTTTACAGTATGTAGATCACTTATTAATTTGCCGCTTTTACATTATTTCACCACGAGAATTTTTTTAAACAGTCTGGTATTTAATAGCTGTATTATACAAGTCACTCTTGTTATTATAAAGTGATTAGGTTGTAAGATTTTCATCACTATGTCGCGAGAGTTGATTAGTAAGTTCATTATAATGAGAGGTTGGGAAGGTTCGCTCTAACAAGAATTCTATAACAAGAGTGA